TGGCATAGTCGGCCTCCTCAGGGGTGAGACAGCGGAGTAGTGGGGGAGAATAACTTTTTTTTGTAAAGGGTGTTTTGCAGAATGACATACCTAGATGCTATCATCCTCAACCTTCTGGCTTTCACCAGATCATCTGGGAGAATGCCCTCCTCTAGGTAAGCTCGAATATGAGTCATCCAGTTAGACTCTGAGGATGCGTAGTGGACCTTGTCTTCCTTTGGCTTGGAGGTGCCAAAGAAAAAAATAGCTTTAATCCTTCAATAGGATCAAAATCATCTCAAATTACAATAAAAGGCTCTTAAACTTGAACAGCTCCATGCCTTAGATCCCCACCAACACCAAGCTCCAAGTTCCGGCACCAGTCTAGACTGAATGCAGAAGCAGACCAGAATAGACAAAATGCTCCCAGCTACCCAAGCCTTCTAGCTACACACCAAATGCCTAACCAAATTTTTTTATACAACCAATTTTTTTTCATGCAGTACCACAACACCATCTAGCTATACAACTTTCCTCAACAAACTGTACCATACTGTACAGACTGAGACACTACATATCTTCCCAACTTCATAACACAACTCAGAAATCTGCAAAAAAAAAAAAAAAAGAAATTGGCTTTAATCCTTCAAGAGGACCAAAACCAATTTTGATTAAATTTCTGGTCACTAAGAGAGCACTAAATCTTACAGCATTCAAGAAGTAGCAGCTAATTTGTTTTTGGGCTCCTGGAACTATCACTGGATCCCAGATCCTCTCAAACCTATCAATGATAGAAAAAGGATATGGTTAACTCAAATAATATAATATCATAAATAACTTATAGATAGATGAGTAAAAATGATAACTTACATATAATGCAAATGCTCAAACCCAGTACTAGATCCTAAACCAGTCAAACCAAGAAGTTGAAGTCCCCTCAAGGTCAGGATGCCACTAGAAGGAAGAAGAATCTGTGCCACAAGGGAAGAGGGGAGAAAGAGAGAATGAGCAATGTTGTTACCAAACTTACCATTGACAGAAAAGGAAAATGAAGATTGTATAGTCTCAAATTTTCTCACCCCAGAACACAGAACCTCTCTAAATGACTATAATTTTTAATAGGACTTGACTGTATTCAATTGATATCTTCCACAAAATTCCAGAAGCTACTATAAACAATAAGAGGTACCACAATAAAAAATTTATGAACTCGGGTGAAAATAATGATAATTAGGAGCAATTTAGAATGGACATTGATTAGTTCAAGTGGCAGCAGCAAGCTACCTATTTATGATTATTTTTCAATGATCATATCACTCAGTTCACCAACACTCTCAATAGAGCCTACCAGGCCCCTTTATCTGTATGCCAAAAATTTTATAATCACAAATGGTTGTCTGGACCCATGTTTGGGTTTCTACAACTCAGATGGTGGGTCATCTGGGGAACGAAATGCACAAACAAATTTGGCTACCTCTACTAAACTTATAGGGAAGCATCAAAAGCTCAGGAAATCTGAGCTGAATATTGCAATACAGTTTTAATAGCAAATATAATCTGGTGGAAAGAGAAGGAAAAGGATATAACTAGAGATTAAAGCAATATATCAGACTCGCTTATCCTAAGATAAAGCAATATAACTAGAAATGATCAAGTATGTTGTAAGATACAACCACCCTTTACAATAATCTCCATAGCATCCCAAACATTCTAAACAAAAAATCAGAAAACTAGCTACCCCCAAAACAAAGATGTTCATTGATAGACAAAAACTCAAAATCAATAATGAAGTCTACATACAAATATACAAATCTATGCATATTGTGGTGAGAAAAATACAGAAAAAAAAAATTCGATTAGGGTTTGTGATGTATAGATCTATGTAGATCTATACATATATATACATATATCTATAAAAAAAAAAAAAAAGGATTACACTTACCTTCACAGCGAAAGAAAGGTCCTTCTTTTTGTCGATCTGAATGGAAGTCCCTTCTTCGTCGATCTAAGTGGAAGTCCCATCTTCTTGAGGTAAGCTGAGACAGAGAAGAGAAGAGAGGGCCTGAGACAGAGAAAAGAAGAGAGTAGCTGGGAAAGCTCGTTGAGACAGAGAAGAAAGGGGCTAAACGAAGAGAAGAGAAGAGAGTAGATGAGCGAAGTAAAAAGAGGGGTTGATTCGTATGTGTTGTGTGAGGACCAAACAGACCACATATTTATACTATGTCATATGAAGTGGTATTCTATGGCTAACAAGACTCAAAGTCGAGACCTCATTTATACCAACCTCGCGTGTTTTGTGTTCGAGTGTTTCCTGGAACAAAAATTTTTTGTTCCCATTTTTTTGTTTTTGTCTTCAGAAAATTAATATAAAACAAAAACATAAAACACAAGACAAAGACAAAAAACAAACGACCCCTTAATGTTTTTGGTCTTTCTTGTTTTAGCTCTTTTGGTTCTTAATGGTTAGATTTCTGAAAAATGACAAAATTTGGTTTTTTTTTTTTTTTTTTTTTTTTGGGGGGGGGG